TGTTTGTTTGTTTGTTTGTATTTTACCTATGTGTATTGTGTTTCCTTTCTTTTTTTGAATGACAGTAACAATAGAAAGCAACAGGGAACAATTATAGATTATTAATATCAAAGTCATTCTAAGTTTAATTGTTCCATTACAAATACTTAAGGATTTCCATTTTAGGGAATATATATTTGTCATTCTATTTGCTTGTTACACCATGTTTCTTTCTATATATTTACTTGTATAAATATGATATACATAGGTACATACATGAATAATGTTTTCAAATTGTAGGAATCGTCTATGTCAATAATGATCCTCTTTCATTACATTATTATAGCTTCTTACTTTAGTTGTAAACAACTTTTGTTTATTTTCGTTTGTTTATTTTTCAAATAGTTGAATAATAAATTACCTTGTATTCATAGTGTTGTACGAATATACATAGATATACATCAGGCTGTAATTCAGAACCTGTTTTATTGTCAAATATTATCAGAAAGGACGCTAGATTTTTCGTAAGGTTAAGTTTAATAAAACCAAAGTTACAATTTTATTGAATGAATAACTGTTATATCCCGATAAAAATAATGAATGGTAGTTCTTGGGATCCATTTATGGACCAATACTATGAATTTTTTTATCGTATAATTGTTATGTAACTGTACTGTTCATATTCATGTCCCAGTTATTATGAGTTGTATTTTGACCTATGAAATATTATTACACGATTTACCATTCTTGAATTATTCCCTGTTTGTTAATCACTATCTCCCTCATTCACAGCCACATTTGGCCATATTTTGTACAAATGTTATTTTCATATTTTATGGTACGCCGTAGTCAGTTTGATCGATATATAAACCGAGTATGTTTGAAATAAATGATTCATACTGCAGAGGTTAGGATCGGTGTTCTGGACTCAACTGGCTGGGCTAGACAGGGAAGCAGGACCAATTAGGAATCTAGGCTGCTCGCACGTGTTTTATGCATCACTGGTTCGATCGATAATTCGCTGCTCTCTAATAGGCGGTATCGCTGCTTTATCCAATATACAGGCACACAGATTCACAAGTTATAACAATAACTTGAGAAATAATTGAAATACATCTTTTAATGTTGACGTACTGATCATCTGGATCTTTTTCAAAACGATGTTATCAGAACTATAATATGATGAAGTGGTTCTGGATTAATTTAAGTGATAAGTATTTAAGATCAATAATTGGTAATGGTTTGTAGCGCAATACTAAAAATGTTTAAATTCTATAAGATTGAGAAAATGATTATCATTTCTAGTTTATTATGAAATATTTACAGTTAGTATATTCAGCTGCCAAGTTAGTCCTATTTTCTTTCAGTTTTTTATGCTTTACGTGATATGATGAAATTACATAAACATATCACTGTAGTAGAAAGTGTACTTTTCTCAAGACCCTTAATAAATGAATTAAGACTGATAGATTCCTCCAAGATTGTTCAACAAAAAAAAGTTTAATAAATAGCACTTAGATGCTCAAAATAAAGCACAGTATTTTGCTCTTAGATTCCATACAATGGATGACACTTCATAATGATGTCCTGTCAAAGAGTGAAGATGTTAAACGAAAATTCTCGGGTCGAGTTTTATAACCAATCGAACTGGTCTATTATTATAAAAGTTCCAGAAAACGAGGAACGTCTTTTGATAGATCAAAATAAACTACTGCGTTACTCATTATCTGAAAAAAATTCATCTTTTAACCTCTGGTAATAGAGATATTCATGTATGGTAATTGTATTTACAATTGGTTTGTCTCTGCACTGTCGTTTATCTGTTGAGATATACTGTTGTCAGAGATGGAGGAGATTAGATGCAGAGTTGGCAACTCGATTGTCTACACGCCACTGACAATTAAATAATTCATACTCCTGTGATGGTGTTTGGTTGTCTAAATTTCATTCCAGATTTTATTAGTGACATTCGATAGACTCATTAATGTTTCATTAGCATGAATAAATCTATTGCGAGCTCATAGTTCCATTTTTGATAAATTAGTGAGCTTTTTCATCTCAATAAATAACATTATACAAAATGCTGAACATTATATTATTCTTAAATGAGCTTTTTTCCCTTTAAAACCATTTCAAAAGATTAAAATGACATGATGTTCAGGTTAAAGCCTGTAATAAAGAAACTTTTAATGAACATATTTTTATTCTCAGGATGGGGGTTTATGGAGATTGTAGTAATTTTAATAGTTGAATTCATGAGTCGATCTAAGGTAATCAACCATTGAGAAACTGAAAGCACTAGACGGCCGTTTCATCCTAGTTTCGGATGACTCAGCAATGAGCATCTATGATTCCATACACGGGAATCGAATCCAGGAACTTCGATTTCACGCTTTCATATGCAGGATCGTGGATGCGCATTGCTGAGTCATCCGAAACTAGGATGAAACGGCCGTCTAGTGCTTCCACATTCTCAATGGTGGTTTAGCTTAGATCGATTCATGAATTCAACCATTAATATTTTTATTCATCTTTAAGCTTTACATTGAAGTAAATATTCTATTAAAAAGTTTAATGTTTTTTAAGTTTCAAAACTTACGTTTATTTGATTTTTTCTGCTGTTTAACTAGTCAGCACTCCTTTATGATTTTGCTCATCCATTGTAAACCAGTTTACTAAAATTAATCCAATGACATATCTACTTAAAATGTACCAACAATTAGTATAAACCTTTTTCAATAAAGTATATGATACTTCCTAAAACAAATTACAAAAACAATTACTCGTAAATGTTTATTCAACCACTAATCCGGTTTCGCATCATTTATACAAAGCTATCGTCTTCACTAACCTGTGACAACGATTAACATAAAGCACATTTTCTCGGTTCTTTCACCAAAAACATATCTATATTCTGGAAGTTTTAAACGCATTAAATAGCTGAGTATGAAATATATACAAACACAATTGTTGGCATCAGTATTCGATAGTATGATAATTCCAACCGATCACATCATCTGTGAAGTTTTTAATTGATTTAACTGACACTTGATCATAAGTAACTTATGCTTTCTAGTCAAGATCAAGTTTCAAACTATCACAGTCATTAGTAATGTATGTAACTAAATATCGACAGAATTCGTTATATTACCTAAATATACTTTACTTTGTTTTGTTAACAATCACATTTATAATTTATGTGAATATACAGATAACCAAAACAATTTCTTTTCTTTGCCTTATCAGATTCATTTAGTCACCTGTTCACCTAATTATAATCACGATATTCATTGAAGTTAAAGAATAATCTCTAATTTTAACACTCTTTATATTATCAACCGGTTTTCTCTTCAAGTCCTTTGTTATATTTAAGCTAAAGCTTAGTTTCTGACCCTCCCCGCCTGTATGACAATGAAAATTAGAATTTACGACTTTTGATATTCATTTTTCTCCATTCTACCTTTTTATTACAATTTTGACTACAGTTATTTAGTGTAGTACTTTTACTGTAGGATTTCTTAAGATATTTTACGCAGTATACTTTGATTCCATATCGGTATTTTGTGGAATAAGTTTGTTTCACTGAAGCAATTCTTAAAAGGATAAAATCCAACAAACAGTGTAATAGTGTTCACTTTTAGCAAACAGGAAATAGACCATATAAACAAGTTGTTTTTCCAATCCATTATATATTGTCCTTTTAATGAAGGTACATATCTGAAGACAAATGATCTGGAAACAAAGCCAGTTTTGCTCAAAAATGTGTATACTCCCCATTGAAACTCGTTCTGATATATTTTGTTATTCGTATATAGATATTTTTCTCATTATATCACTCTGTGTTGTGTTTTAATTAATATTTAGGCTCCACGTACAATCGTTAGAGCTATGTGTTTGACACTGCTAGAATTTGTCTTTAAACACGATACCAGTTGATTTTCTCAGTTCTGTAAATGATCATTATCAATATATAAGTAGTAGTAGTAGTAATAATAGTAGTAGTATATGACCTCTCAAAATCATAAAAACACGCAAAGTAATTTTCTAATCTAGCTTATCACTAAGTGAGAAACGTTGTGTGAACTACATTTTGAAAATGAATCATTCTCTCAATAATGTTATAGTCATTATAAATGACCAGTACATATATGAACATGTGTTTCGACTTCGTGATCTTGGGAGATAAGAAGCATAATTATGCAAATTTCAGTGATCGGAAATGTCTAGGAAAATCTTAGAACTGTTAAATTTCTTTTAACTTTTTACACAAATAATACAATATCTAAAATTTTCTACATAATTTGCGTTCAATTTCAGTGAAACTATCTTCTTCAATCTTGACTAAAATGAATAGGTGTACTGGGATTATATTAAAATTTTTGTGCTGTAACATAGAAATTGACGTTGATATTTTTATTACCTGTCAAAGTCCCTCTATAAAAATTGAAATTGTAACCTTAATCAAACTGACAATCATCGTTTAAACAACACCCCCCCTTGATAGTCTTATGTTACCGACAACATTATTAACCATCCCTTTTTTTAAAAATAAATAAACATTCTAGCTTTAATTATTTCACATCAGTCAACTGCATATATTTTATGTGACCTATTTTTAGAACATAACTACTTATTTAAGTAATCTTGTCATTATTGATATTACATAGATTCAAATAGACTAAGGTTAGTTTTTCTACATAATCTGTCTTTACTAAACATTTTCCTATCTGTTTTTCTTCCACTCCTATTCTATGTACATTTGTATGTGTGTTAAGTCAGCATGCTTTCTTTTTCCACAGAATATTATGGATCAATGAATGAACAGTGTAACCGTAAAAATGAACACATGTGTATGCATGTGTTTATGCTCCTAATTTAGATGTTGGGGTATTATTTTTTTTCTAAAAAAAAAAAGAAAAACAATTGTTCTCGTACAATAGTAATACAGTGCACAAACTTTATTTGCTCTTCATATTATTGGTTTAGATAGTTGTATATTGATGAGTGCAACAAAATACTTCATTTGCCCAATCTTATGAACCATTAGATTTCTCAATTTCACTCTCCCTTTTCTCCTAACATAAAATACAGATTTTGTTTTTACTATAGGACATAGTATTTGTTGCTATTTCATAAAGTAACATGTTAAATAATCATAGTTAACAATCATCATTACTTCAAGTTCATCATGATGTCAACTAATATGTATGTAATCACGTATGTATCCCTTTGTGTATATATATGTCATAAGTCAGTTTTTGAGGATATTATATAAGTTTTGTTTTAAAAAACAAAACAAAACAAATGAATAAATGAATGGTGACTTTTAACTTAATAACTTGGATATAAAATACATTTATTTACAGTATTTTTATTCTTCAATTAAATAATCATCATCACAAATAATATGATATAATAAGTTTGATTACTCAATTGGACAAAGTTCATCTTTATTGATTTTGTTTACTTTGAGAACAGTGTAAAATAATACACAATCACTCTCTCTTTCACACACACATATATATATATATATATTCTTCAATGTTCACTTATGATATCAGTTCATTTTACGTGAACTAATGAATAGTGTATTAGAATTTAACGAATAGTAAGTTCTTAGTATAATAAACAATTAATGTAATATTACTATTATTACTATATTTCTGTATTATTTCTAGTTTAATAACAATAAGGTATGTATATCCGTCATCTGAATTAATCCATTAAGATTCTATTGTTACAACATCATAAATGAAAATATCGTAATTATACTATTGCGCATAAGTTAATATGAAACATTAGTTTATATAAATCAAAGTACATATTTAAATTTTATATATTACATAGAATTAATGAATCACCGTTTGTAGCTCTTTAAGAATCACTATTAATCCCATATACAATTCTCCTCTTTTATCTGGGCTTGGGATTGACAGTAACTCTAGAAGAACTACAGGTGGACATTATTCCTAGAAAGATATCAGATTTATTATTACATTGTATATTTTCATGAAAGTTTTTAAGGTGTATCTATGTATGGTTTTACTTTGATAAGATTGATTAAGTTCAAAATGAAACAAAGCCTGTAGTTTACTTTCTGAATTGATATTTTTTGTACAGTGTAAATAAGAGATCATCAAACTATTACATTAAAAAAATAGGAGCAAAATAAATGTATATTAAATTATAATCAGAGAGAGGTACTGTGGAGATTGTAGTAATTTAATCATTAAATACATGAGTCAATTAAAGCTAGACCATCATGGAAATAAAGTTTTTTTAAGCATTTTTTTTCTAGAAAAATGAACAGTAAATATTCAGTTAATTTAAGAATTTCTTTTAGTATCAGAGATCTCCATTCTAATGTTGAGATTTACAGTGAGATTTGAAAACATTACGTGATGTTTCAGAAAGAAAACGTGTTATGCACCGGGCTAGAGAATCGATTAAAGTTTTTAGTGCTTTTGAGTTAAGAAATATTAAACAGCCTTAAGCACAATAAAAAGTGGAAGCCATAATATCCAAACTAACCCTTATTACTTATAGTAAATATGGTTCATTTTAATCCCAATTTATGAAGAAAACTTTATAGTATATGTGGTCATAGAGTTATTACATCTGAAGAGTTTTTTTTTCATAAAATTTATTCCTCCAGTGATTTCGGATTTATTTCGTCAGTTGTCTAGTTCCCACATATTTTGAGATTTATCCGAAGTTAAAAAATTTAAGTCCCGGATAAACGATCATAAAATTTATACTTATAAATTACTATCTAAATGTAACCTATTTTGGATGCGCACTGCTGAGGATTCCCAAAATAAGACGAAATGGCCGTACAGTGCTTCCAGGCTTTCCATGGTGGTCTAGATTCAATTGACTCATGATCTAAACTATTAAAATTACTACAATTTCCATAAAACCCCTTTTGATATTAAATCATATGTTTACTTTCAGGACATAAATAAACTAAAAAAACCAAAGGTGACAAGTGATTTCTGAAAACATTCCATTTGTACAAACTATCCTTGTAGAATAAAATCAACTAATTTATCTACTTACTTACGCTTGTTACTCCCAATGGAGCATAAGCCGTTGACCAACATTCTCTAATCCACTCACTAACCGGAAAAAAAACAACTAAGTTTACTGATAAATTCAAGCAGTTAATCTTCTTTGTTCTTCGTCATTTACTCCAGTTAACCAATATTCGTAGATGATCAATTTATTTGTTCATATCTAAGCTTTTCTTTAATTTGTAAACACATTTCAGAGATCATTTCTCAATATGAACATGTTATTAATAATATACCTATTAAATAGATATGGTATACATTTTCAATGACCAGATTCTTGGTAGAATTATATAATACCATTTGTATTAAGCTAAATCAATCATAGACTGACTATAATACTTGAATTATCTAAATTGTCTTGAATGAATAGATAATACAAAAATTATAAAGTATCCTTTAAATAGTTACTAGTCTAAACACAACCGAAATAAATTTTTTTTCCAAAATGAAGATAAGCATTCATATACATGTAAGACATTCAAAATAAGTTTATATTAGAATGTCCCATTTTACTAATACTTTGAATATTTATATGAGATAAGGTCTAAACATTGAAATCTACCATAAGTTCTTTGTTTCTTTTTTCGAATTTTTAATATAATCAAACTAATTCAATTTTGTTACTGTTTATATTAATGAAGTACAACTATACTCTTAGCTAAATGTTTTTGTAGTTTAACAGTTCATTGACTAAGCTGAAGAATAATAATTCTAGTTGAAATATACAATATAACGTTATCTTAACAATAAACAATAAACATGATTTTATGTCACTTCAAGTGAAGGTATGACAAAATGTTAATTTTATTAGTTAGTTACCATGTCTAATGAATATTAACTGTTCAAAATTAAAAAGAATTATTATTGATTAATAGATTCTAGTGTCTTGATAAGTGATGGCTTTAAATTTCTTAGCCTAAATGTCATAATTCACATTTCTTCTAATTATTAAAGATCTATTTTTATGTTGTTGTTGTTGTTGGTACATTCGTAACTTAATTTATCGATCAATTGTAAATCGATAGTGTTCCAATGAAGAGAAATTACAGTTAACGTAAGTAGTACTTATCAACAAAGCATAATTTTCATAAACTATCTCAAACTATTAAAGAATTGTAATGATTTAAAAAAAGAGAATTTTTCACATCTTTTAGTATCAACAGACCATATAAAAACATCTACCATGTATAATAACAATCGTAACTACTTTCAGTTATATTCAACAAATCTTTCTCACATTTAAACTAACACAAATCACTATAACTATCAACAGATAGTTTTTAACCCATAATACTGTTGCCATGAATAATCTTTCATAAATAAATAGCCATGAAATTTCCTGTAATTGTTCATTTCCTATATAAATAATATATTACTTGATATAAATTTATTGTAAGCCTAAAAGTTGGATCATATCTTTTAGGTATCATGTATTTTACATAGGTTAAATAGGTAATTAATTATTCTTCATTATACTGAATGCAAAATCTAATGAATTCAATATAAATAACGTAGTTTCAAATAGATCGTAAAAATTTCTTATACGTATCAATATTTAATTATGTAAGCCGATAAGCGACCTAAATAAATGATTAACATAATCAGTAGTAGATTGCATGTAACTTTAAATATAACAGAATATTTAATTACCTTTATAAGTGATAAATACCATTCTTAAACGGTTTCAATTTTTCACACATTGTAGTAAGTTCATTTTCTAAATGAGGAAACCATTTAATCTGAAACATTTACAATGGTCATTATTATTATTATTATTATTATTATTTGACCTATATTCCATGGTCAGTACAAATAAATTTACCGAAGTACTTTGTTATGGTTCTAGAAAAACGAATCATTTTAAATTCACCTTTTCCTCTTCTTCTTCTTCTTCTTCAAGGAATGAAATCTGACATTTTATCTGTTATTCAACTAGGGTTTGTTTTTTCGCTTTAGTTTGTCCTCATTACAAATGAACATTAAGTAAGGAATCATCTAATAATTCTTTATTTCTAATTTACTGAATTTATTATCTAAATACCTGAAGTAATAAAGTTTTAGAAGAATTACTGACTATTATCTAAGTCTGAGTGAAATATTATGAGTATGACGTACAGAATTATTTAAATATAAACGGTGATGAATGGTGGCTAGTTATGAAATTCTAAACGTGCATTTCGTCCTATTTAGGACTCGTCAGCTGAATATACATGGATCTATTATCATTAATTAGTTGTTAATTAAAAGTTAAAAACGAGTTCTAAAGAAACATATAATGATAATCAGTTTTGAGAAGGATCGTATTTGTCACATGATGAGTGTTTAGGATCAAAATAAAACAAACAAACAACTTATAATATTTTCAATTTATTACACACATCTAGAAAAATAAGGTCAATATTCCTGTTGTAATTTATCCCATACATATTTTAGAAAACGAATGATTCCTGGAACTTCGTCTAACTAAACTATGAAACTTGATACTTCCAGAAGTAATAGTAAAGAATTCAAACTAATTCACTTATATTTATGAATATAAAAAGATAATATCTATATAAGATTAGGATTTGCTAAGTGAAATAGAGACTCATTTCTATTCTTCTATCTTTTCATATTGCTCATTATAATGACTTTGTAATGACCATACGGGGAAGGTCCCTTATAATAAGTTATAGTCTATCAAAGATGATTTATCAAAGGGGTCTTTTAAATTTTATTGAGGTGGCTTACCATTTTACAATTAAGATCCGAATAAGAATAATTATTTTTACTGAAACATTTGATATGTTCAGAAAGAACTATAAATGTAAGTAGTACCATAACATAGACGTATGTTGGTTCTTAAAATTCCAAATAGTCGAATCCTGAAAACAATTATTTGGTATCATACTAATTATAAATAATTATGAATTAGTGCGAATATTTTAAAAATTAAATTTTAATGTAATGTTGTGACCTAAGATGTTGACCTAAGGCGAGTGATAGTTAAATAAATGCATTTTGTTACCAATAAGATATAACCATTTAGTAGATGTGAAGAAATATTTAAAAAATAGTTGATTTCACTTTTTCATTTCCCTTGAAATCGTTTAATGATATGGGTTGCCAATTAAATCAATAAAGACAATGAACGTATACATGATATTAAGCTTTTTATCCCGTGAAATGGTCAGTAATTATTAAAGTTATTACTTTGGTAAGCTTTAGATTAATTAGAATGACACTTATCTGATTAAATTGGGAACCAAGCTTAAGATCTGGCCGGCAGTCAATACAATAATGTATTTCAGAATTTGATACGAATCATCTACTTGAATGTAACCCTTAAATAGTCAAATACATTGTAAATGTCCTAAATTAGTTGTAAACACGTGCTAACTGAGAAAATAACGTAGAACTTTTTGATAACGTTAAAATTGTTAGTTAATAAGACTACAGGAGCTGACAACATATCATTATATCAACCTGTGTTTATTTCAAATATTTAAGTTTCATACTTTTTTAATGATCTAAACTTAAAGTTGTCGAAAGTTTA